TTTTTTTTTTTTTAATTGCAGTTGTCATTGTTGTTTAGCAAGCCCTGGCTGAGTTTGAACTCACCTGCCTTGGTATATGTGGCCAGTGCTCTAATCACTGTGCTACGGGCACCGAGCCAGTTTTCAAGTTAACATTTTAAAAAAATCATTACTAAAGGATATATGTGTATTTTGATACTTTTATTAATGTGTATATTCTAGTGAGTATTCTACTTTTTCCAGTTAACATTATTTCCACCACACGATTCTATACATCAAATTAGTTTGCATGCTTATTCCTTTAGTTAACTATTCCTTTAGTTAAAGTAATAGTACAGAAATATTGTGTATCAATAAAATTTTTTTGTAATTTTAAATTAATAGTAGTAGTAGTGATAGAAATAATAGTGACAACCATGATGAAAACTAATGCTAATCACTGTTAGGCACTGTACTAACTACTTAAGGTATATTATCTCATCGAAGAATCATACTATTTCATGTATTCCTATAATATTTAGCCCTTTTTAATATTTGGGACTATTTCTGATTTATCATTGATATAAAAGCACAACTGTAAAGTTAATAAAGAATAACTTTTGGATGCAGAAGGGTATTTTATTGTAGAGTTTATTGCTTATCGTAGAAATAAAGACTAGGAGTAGTTTTTATGAGTAATTCACTCTAATGCACAATCTCTCGTCCCTTTTTAAACATTTTAAAATTAATATTTATCATTTCTATGCATATGCTAGGCTGACTGCATATCTATATGCTTCTGTACTCTCTATATTATGGTTTTTCAAGTTTTAAAACTTTGTATAAAAATAGTATGCAGTGCACCTCCTCTGCAGCTTCCTTTTCTAATTTCTTTCCATATGTTCTGTCAATATTCACTTGAATATTGACAAGTGGCTAAGAATATAGCCATTAACATATTTTTTCTTTTTCTGCAATTTTTGGCTGGGGTCAGGTTTGAACCCACCACCTCTGGTATATGGGGCCAGCACCCTACTCTTTTGAGCCACAGGCGCTGCCCCTATATATATATATATTTAAATGTATTATCTTGCAGTATTTTGCTATTATAAGCCATTTTTAAGTGAATAGTTTTCGCGTGACTCACTGTACGCACTGGAGTCGTGAACTTGTCCAGACTTCCCAGCGCTCTCTTAGGATGTCGCCCCACTTGGCCTGCTCGCAGTTCCGTGTGATTATTTCCATTTTTCACATCCTCTTTGGTAACATCAGAGATTTTTGTTTTGTTTTGTTTCATTTTCTTAATTTATTGGACACGACATGCATCTTGTTCTTGTGTTAATTTTAATTGCTGTCACTCCTAGTTGTGCCAGAGACATTTATTA